AAAAAGTGTCACGTGTTGAGGCTGCTAGAGGAAGAACCCATTATTCTGAAAGTTAATAGAGGGAAAGATGCATGTTTCCTTTCCTATTTGAATTTGTGCTCCAAACCGAATAGCATATGAGGAAAATCAGACATTCCAATCCCTAATCAATTAACACATCCATTTGTGACTTACAAGAGTTTAAAAAGACCAAACAACCCAGTGAAGAAATGGGCAGAAGATATGAACAGACACTTCTCCAAAGAGGACATCCAGATGGCCAACAGACACATGAAACGATGTTCAGCATCCCTACTCATCAGGGAAATACAAATCAAAACCACACTGAGATACCACTTCACACCAGTCAGAGTGGCTAAAATGAGCAAATCAGAGAACTCTAGATGTTGGCAAGGATGTGGAGAAACGGGCACCCTCCTACACTGTGGGTGGAAATGTAAACTGGTGCAGCCCTTCTGGAAAACAGTGTGGACGTACCTCAGGAAACTAACAATAGAACTCCCCTATGACCCAGCAATAGCACTGCTAGGAATTTACCCAAGGGATACAGAAATGCTGATGCATAGGAGCACATGGACCCCAATGTTCACAGCAGCACTCTCCACAATAGCTAAAACATGGGAAGAGCCTAAGTGTCCATCAACGGACGAATGGATCAAGAAGATGTGGTTTATCTATACCATGGAATACTCCATGGCAATGAGAAACAATGAAATCTGGCCATGTGTAGCAACATGGATGGACCTAGAGGGTGTTATGCTGAGCGAAATAAGTCAGGCAGAGAAGGACAAATATCATAAGTTTGCACATATAGGAGGATTAGGAGAAACTTAACTGAGGAACAAGGGGGAGAAGAAGGGGGGAAATGGTGGGGGAAAGGGAGAGAGGCAAACCATGAGAGACTCTTGAATGCTGATAAAAACTAAGGACTGATGGATGTGGGGGGGAGGGGGGATGGGGATGGAGGAGGGCACTCGTGGGGATGAGCACTGGGTGTTATGTGGAAACTAATTTGACAATAAACTATTTGTAAAAATAATAATAATAATAATAACATAAAAAAAAAGACCATCACATTAGCTAAGTGCCCGCCTCCCAGAAGATCCGATCCTGTATTAGTGGCAATGGGACTTAGCACGTCAATATTCTTATGAGCACATTTACTTCTGTCCTTTGGAGGCAATTTTTGCCCCGTTACACTCAAAATCCCAAACCCGACGGCAGCGTTCTGTAGGAGCTCCCAGTACATGGCTCTCTCGCATGTCACCCCTCCAGGTACCCAGAGAGACCCCATGAACTGGTCACATGTAGAAAAGCCGTATCGGTCTTTATATTAGCCCTAAATATCTCCAGGCATATATATTTAAAAAGTTCACAAAATGTGATGAGGTAACAAGGTAGGTAATTCTGAGTATTGTCCTCAGCGCACCCTCAGAAAAAACAGGGTGTAGCCAGCCCGGCCCCTAACACCTGAGAGGCCTGGGCCAAGTTCCTCAACTAGGAAGCCAGATGATATCCTCACCCAAAGGTCTGCGGACGGTTCAACAAAATAACGTACACATACAGTTCTCAAAACGGCACCTGAAGTACAAGCGAACACCGGCTCAGTAACTGGTGGTAATGATTACTCGGCCATTTTAAATTGACGCAACCATCTACCAGCTTCGTGCAAGGAGGCAATGAAGTGTTCAAGAAGGAACAACTCACCCCCCAATACTCTAGAAACCAAACCACAACTCCTGGGTTAGCTCCATCCAAGGAGCATAAAGGCTACAACAGAGCCACCAGTATGGTGCTTCCCCAAAGTGCCACGGGTACCAGCTAAATGCTGCCAAGTTGTTACAGGGCAACTTTGCTCTACCCAGTGAAAACCTTCAATGGTTCCTCACTGTCCGCCAACAGAAAGGCTATTCACAATGGCATCCGGGTCCTTCCACGGGTCTGACACCAACGGGCCTTTTCAGCTCTGGGGCCATCCGACCCACTTCCTATGTACACTTCCCGTCACACGCCTTGTCCAGTCAGGGCTCTCAGCCTTCCCTCCTTTCTGGAATGGCGTCTGCTCCCCTCTTCCTTCCCACTGCTTTGGAATGTCCTGGGTGGGGTCTTTAACTCCTCCTTTGGACCCTAAGTTCCTTAACAGCAAAAGTGAACCTACTGCTCGTTTACAGCAGTGACCTAACATATAACTTAATCTGTGATAAGGATTTAACACTGTCTTAAGTTTGTTTATTTAATTATTTATTTCTAAGCTTATTTAAGTAATCTTGACACCCAGTGTGGGGCTCGAACTCACAATCCCATTATCAAGAAACACAGGTTCCACCAACTGAGCCAGCCGGGCTCCCCGACAAGATCTCAAGTTTAGATGGGAAGATACTGACTTATATTTGCCTGTATTTTCATCTATGATTTTATTTTCACCTGCATAAAATTAAGACAGTAGGTAGTTGACATAATGGGTCCAGTTACCAAGCTATGACCACAATGACAAGGATGGAATGAGAAACAGGGTCTGCGATTCCCAATCCAAGTTATATCTGTGCTCTCAAGGATATCCTACTTATTCCGCAGCGCAAGACAAAATGGACCGTCATTTCTAATTCTTGTTGAGATTCTGGCACAAAACCACAAAATAGCAATCTATTAGAAAGCGGTGCAGGGCATCTGAGTGGCTCAGTAGGTTGAAGTGTCTGACTTTGGCTCAGGTCATGGTCTCCCGGTTTGTGAGTTCGAGTCCTGACATCAGGCTCTCAGCTGTCCGTGCAGAGCCTGCTGTGGATCCTCTGTCTCCCTCCCTCTCTGCCCCTCCCCGACTCACCCTCTCCCTCTCAAAATTAAACAAACATTAAAAAAAAAAAGTTATTTATAGAAAATCTTGCAAAACTGATAAAAATGCCAAGCACCGCGCGCTGGAAAGTTTTACCCATCAAAACAGAGGCAGCAACACTTAACTCACTCATAATTCTGACTTTCAGATGCCCCCCACCAGGTGTCTCCTACCCCAACAGCCTCATCATTGCTGACTATGCCACACTCTCTGCAGAAAGGTAGCTTTACCAGCCACACGGCTTTCTCCCTTTAAGTATTTGAAAGATGCGTTGAGGGCTTAACTTAGGAACTGAATGCACCATACTATAGCTTTTTTCTCCAAGGTCACGGACAACTATGCCCCCAAATTACACATTCCCCCAGGACGCCTAGCACTCAACAAGCCCGTTAAAAGAATGTTGGCTTTAGACCAGATCTCAAATCAGAGATGTCAAATCTCATCTAACCCAGCTGTACACACACACACACACACACACACACACACACACACAGAAATTGAGTCTGGAAAAGTTAATAGAATAATAATGATAATGGTAAATAGAATCCGGGGCTTCCCGATCCCCAAAGCAATGCTAAAATTACTGCATGTTATATAGTGTTTTAAACTTACAGAGAAAATATTTCTAAGATTTTTAAATAAAACAGGTTCAGAAGATAAAGTTACCTTTATGTATTTTTTTTTCAGTCATGTGGAAAGGTAGGACTAACATTTGGCCCTTCCCTATTCTTAAATACCTTTGTGCTACAATATACTTGAAGCTTACTAATCACTGGAAAAGTCAGTTCCAAGAATAAAAATTTGAAGTAAAACGTAGTTATAGGAGTTGTACAGGAACCCCACCCCCACCCCCGATTTTATCTGAGCGGTAATCTGTCACCACCATAGAAAACACTAAATTCAAGCCAGTGACCTAAGGGTCAAGTGATCTGAAAGCCATTAGCCATTACCAATTCCCCAAGCGGGGCAGTGCATCGAGGGCTGAACTCCATGTGCAAGGACAATGAATATTTCAAGGGTAAACTTTTAAATAATAATAATTTTAAAAATGCAATGAGTGTAGAATAACCAAATGTCCTGGAAATGTCCTGGACTTCCATTAGTTTGCACAAAGTTTTGCTGAGCGAAAGCAAACAACTTCGGAATGCATCCCTCCACCGAACTTCACAACTTCAGCTACTCAAGCATGCAGGGTCCTCCCCAAGGAACTCCCTCTGGGAACAGTGTCATAAATACGCTGTTCTGGAATGTATGCGAAACCTAGCAACCACTTTTAAAGTTGCATTCTGCCCAGGACCCGCCCCACAAGGTCTAAATATCTCTAAGAGTCCAACTAGCAAGCGTTTCATCAGTCTTTCCCACTGAAAAGATCATGTGATTGGTATCATACCAGTGAATCACCCAATAGAGGAAAAAAAAAAACCCCACACACCACAATACCGTTCTAAAGCCAGAGACATCTTACAATCGGTTGTGTGAGAAACAGAGGGTACTTGTAGGCCTTAACGGAGAACTTTTGCACACGGCTTCCAAGGTACACTTTTAACCATCTAGAAGTTACTAGAACATCATGGGCACCCCTTCCCTTTAGAGGAGGACTAGCAGGAGGGACTTAAGGGTTATCAGCTTAAGGCTTCCTCCTCTGGCCACATGAGAACCGCCAAGGGAGCCAGTCCTCTTCGACGTGATGGTTCCCCAGAACGACTGGACAGGGAATGTACGGAACCGACGGAAAGATTTCCTCCTCCCCGGAACACGGGTAAAAATCGGGGGAACCTGATGTGCCAAGCCACAGGAAGCAAGAAAAGGAATACGACCATTAAAAAACAAAAACAAAAAAACCACCGCAAACAAAAAGCCATCCGAGGACCGTATCCTCTAGGAGAGAAAGGGCTCATTCTTCCACCCCGGCCCGTGGAAACCCGAGAAGCTAAATTCGGTAAAACGCCCCAGTCACCCCGGGGAGGCAGGACCAGGACCGCAGAAGCCAGGCTCCAGGCCCGTCGGAGCTGTATGACCCAGCGGCCCAGCGGGCGGGGACAAACTTCGGGGACCACCCCCCCCTCCGCCAAGGACGCAGCCTGCTCGGGTCGCCGCGGCCCCGTCACGCTCGGGCCCCGGCCGGACTCCGCGCGGCGGCCGAGGCAGGGGTGAGGCCGGGCCGGCTCACCTTTGAAGAAGCGCAGCGCCAGGCCGTACAGCTCCTCCAGGCCGAAGCCCCAGCGCTGCTCCAGCCGCCGCGCCTCCTCCGCCGCGCCCCCGGCCGCCGCCTCCCCGGGCTCCGGCTGCTGCCCTGCGGCGCCCGGCCCCCGGCCCGCCCCGGGGGGAGACGGCGGCGGCAGCGGCGGCGGCAGCAACGGGGCGCCCTCCGCGCCGGGCCGCTCCTCCGGGTCCGGGCTCAGCGTGAGGCCGTCGACCGAGACCTCGAGTCGCTCTGCGTTCAGCACCGCCGCCATCTCCGGCTGCTGCGCCTCCTCGGCGGGGACAGGCGGCGGCCACGTATCGACTTCCTGCTGACCTCTGACCCTCAGCGACGCCGGAACTTCCGCCGCTGAGAAGGATCTCCGGCTCCGCGAGGGGGGCTGAGTCCCGCGCCCCGCCCCTCCGCGACCCCCGGGGCCCCGGCGGCCCCGCCCCGTCCGGCGTCGGCCCCGCCCCTTCCCCGGCCCGCGTCCGCCCGCCCGCGTCGTCCTCCCGCGGGTGCTCCCGCGGGGCGGTCAGGGACCCGCGGGGTGCGGTGGCCGGGGACGGCGGGGCCAGCGGGGTCCGCGGGGCTCGGGTCGGAGGTGGTGGTGGAGGTCGTGGAGGGGCGGGGCCTACGGGGCTGGGGTCGTGGAGGGGCGGGGCCAAGGGGCGGGGCCTCACGGGCCGGAGTCACAGACTCGCGAGCGGGGGTGACCGCGGGCAGTCGCCCGACCTCCCGGTCAAGCCTCTTCCCGTATGCGGGGTCGCGTGCTTCCCAGAACCGCCCCCCACTCCACCTTGGTCTCTCCGCAAACCTAAGGAAGTGCTGGGCAAATTCCCTGTTTTTAAAGAGGAAACTGAGGCTGCAGAGAAATTCATGGGCTTCTGTGAGGTTGTAGTAAATTGGTAGACGCGCGTTCTGCAGGAACGGGAGCTCGGACAATTTGTGGGGCCCCTATTAAGAAAAAAATACCCAAGGGGCTCCTGGGGGACTCCGTTGATTAAGCATCGACTCTTGGTTTTGGCTCAGGTCACGATCTCCTAGCTGGTGAGTTCGAGCCTCCCGCTCTGTGCTGGCTGGCAGTATGGACCCTGCTTGGGATTCTCTTTCTCCCTCACCCTCCATCCCTCCTCCGGCTCATTCCCTCTGTCTCACTCTCTCACTCGGTCTCAAAGTAAGTAAACTTTAAAAGAAAGAACAGCAAACTCCTTTAAAAGATGTCTAAAATTATGCAGGTGAATATGTTTAGAAAGAGAAATCACACGGGCGCCTGGGTGGCTCAGTTGGTCAAGCTTTCGACTTCGGCTCAGATCTGATCTCGCGGTCAGTGGGTTCGAGCCCCGCATCAGGCTCTGTGTTGACAGCTCAGAGCCTGGAGCCTGCTTCGGATTCTGTGTCTCCCTCTCTCACTGCCCCTTCCCTGCTCACTCTCTTTCTCTCAAAAATAAATAAACGTTAAAAAAATATTAAAAAAAAGAAATCACAAATGACATTTTGAAAAGTCGTAAAAAGCCAGAAACATCACACACAACCATAAAATATTTATTAACTTCCTGACACACTTCTACAGGGTGTCCAAAAGTTCAGAAATACAATTGCTTTTTTTTTTAAAGATTGAAAATGCCCTTGGCAGCATTACATGTATTTAGCTCTCTGTCTAGACTTTATGGGCACCATGTATGATCATTTTCCCCACATATTCAGGCTGCGTACTTTCAATCACCTTTTCCTATGACATTTTGTAATAGTTTCTATTGCTGTAAAGAAAATAGAAAAGTCAGTCTTTTTCTCAGCATGGTGATCAAAAACTTTCATTGGGAGGGAAGGAAAAGTCAGAACAGAGAGGGAGACAAACCATAAGAGAGAGACTCTTAAAAACAGAACAAACTGAGAGCCGATGGGGCGGGGAAAATGGGCGATGGGCATTGAGGAGGGCACTTGTTGGGATAAAAACTAGGTGTCATATGTGATGAGTCCCCGGATTCTACTCCTGAAGCCAAGAGTACACTGTATGGCAACTAACTTGAGAATGAAAAATAAATAAATGTATTATCATTTATGTTTTAGTTTCCCAAGTCATTACTGTTAGTAGCGTGTATTTTTTGAAAGATTATTGTCAAGTTTTGGGAAAACCTGTATCGAGTTTCTCTCACATCTGAGCTATAATATTTCAGGGCTGTTTGTCGGCTTGAATGGCCATTTGGTGTATGGTTTTCGGTGAATTCCCAGTGTTCTTCAGAACAAGATTTGTCTGTTAAAACAGGATCTGATTTATCTGATCCATTATGATAAATAAAACATGTGACTTTAACTTCAGATAGATTCGCTGTAGTAAGAGTACAAGTTTATGTCTCATAAACGCAAGAGTTCTAATATGTTGGCCCTTTTGCGTGATTCTCATAAAAACAAAAATAAATATGGTGCGCTTATAATTGCATATATGACATTACTTAGATTCCTGATGACTGACAATGTCCATTTTAGATTAGGCTTTTTTTAATATATATCTTTTTTTTTTATGTTTTATTTATTTCTGAGAGAGAGAGAGAGAGAGAGAGAGACAGCATGAACAGGGGAGGGTCAGAGAGAGAGGGAGTCACAGACTCTGAAACAGGCTCCAGGCTCTGAGGTGGCAGTCAGCACAGAGCCCGACGCGGGGCTCGAACCCATGAACCGCGAGATCATGACCTTAGCCGAAGTCGGACGCTTAACCGACTGAGCCACCCAGGCGCCCCTAGGCTTCTTTTTTCTTTTTTAATGTTTTATGTGTTTTTGAGAGAGAGAGAGACAGTATGAGCAGGGGAGGGGCAGAGAGAGGGAGACACAGAATCGGAAGCAGGCTCCAAGCTCTGAGCTGTCAGCACAGAGCCAGACATGGGGCTCGAACCCACAAACTGCAAGATCATGACCTGAGCCAAAGTTGGACACTTAACCAACTGAACCACCCAGGCGCCCCTTATTATTATTTCTTTTTAATGTTTCTTATTTTGAGAGAGAGATTGAGTGCAAGCAGGGGAGAGGCATAGAGAAAGAGAGAGAATCTCAGGCCGACTCAACATTCGGTGAAGAGCCGATCTCGGGGCTGGAACCCATGAACCGTGAAATCACAACCTGAGCTGACACCAGGAGTTGGACGCTCAACTGACCAAGCCCCCCAGGCGCCCTGGTTAGGCATTTTAGATTAGCCATTGAGACACTTGATTCTTCTGCGGACAATTTTTTTCTCTGGGTGGTTGCAAGGATTCTCTATGGACCAGCTTCTCATTTCCTTTCACATCTTGTCCCCCCTCCCCCCCCCCGGCCCGTGTATTTTCTGTGCCAGGTGTCACAGAGCTCCTTTGCCCCCCCGGGCCCTGCACCTTTGTGACATAGCGCCGGCTGAGTAGGCACTGCGAGCCGTAGGTGTATTTCAGAAAGCCATTCCTCTACCCGCTGTGAGCAATGATTTAACAGGATTCAGAAATGACTGCCAGTCACATAAATGCATGCCGCTAAGCTCCAATTCAATGTAGCCCTTCCTCAGTCATTGTCCCCTCAACAGATCCCCCCCCAAAGCTCCCTTCCTGAGCCATCTAACACAGAGGAGTGACGGAAGGAAGTCAGGATGCAAAGAGACCGTGAACTTACACATCTTGTTTTAGAAACTTTGACAGGAACGTTGGACCAGGCGAAAACACTGCAACGGCCTCGGAAGGGCTTGGAAATGGGCTTCGTTAGTTCATGGTAAACCCTGGGAGCCGAGGTGGCTCAGTTGGTTAAGCGTCAGACTGCGGCTCAGGTCATGATCTCACGGTGTGTCGAGCCCCATGTCAGGCTCTGTGCTCAGAGCCTGGGGCCTGCTTCCGATTCTGTGTCTCCCTCTCTCTGCCCCTCCCCTGCTCACACTCTGTCTCTCTCTCTCTCTCTCTCAAAAAAATGAATAAACGTTAAAAAATTATTTTAAATAAATAAATACATTGGGGGTAATAATAGCACCCACGTCTTAGGCTGTTGAGAAGCCCGGATGTGTGAATACACGAAGGCACTAGGAAAGGGACCCTCGGGCATACAGTGTGCCTTCCATAAATTCGGGCCACTGGTCTGTATTTTCCATCACGACGCAGAAAGGCTGCACACCGGAGGCTCACAGGACAAAGCTCCCGACTCAATGTCTTTTGAGAGGCTTGCAAGGTTGGGCTTTACACTTGAATTGGTCGTTAGCGTTTTCAGATCCAGGCCTGGCACTGGAGTCAGACGACCGTGACCTAGAGGCTGCCTCCTTGAGGAGGGACAAATGCCCGAAGTTGGCAACAGTCTCCGCAGCCCATCGTGACGGACCCCCTCCGTGCTGTGTCTCACGGGCCTGCGCCTGGTGCGACTGATCACTGTACGCCAGCTCTATTTACCGTGTGTGCGCGGCCGCATTAGGCATTTATTCGGGCTGGTAAGGCCCTACGACAGAAGAAAGAATGGCATCCTGCCCGGAAGGTCTGAAGAGATCATTCCGGTTATCATTGTGCACGTTTACAGTTGAAGGATGGAGAGACGACATTCTGCAGAGAGGGGGTGCCGTTTGCTGACAGCCTGTGGGGTAAGAGAAGCAGGCATGTTTGGGTGGCCTTGGCCGGGGCAGAAGGTGCAAGGGGGAGGGGTGGCAGAGGGTGAGCCTGAGGATGTAGGCAGGGGCCAGAGGCTCAGGCACCTGCCAGGGGAGGGAACGGAAAGTGACTCGATCTGTCACGTTTTATATATTGTGACCTTAGACCCACTTTCTGGACCTCTGTCTCTTTCTCTGGAAAGTCAAAATTGTTTCTGGGGGCGCCCGGGGGGCTCAGCCGGTTGAACATTGGACTTCGGCTCTGGTCATGATCTCACAGTTCATGAGTTCAAGCCCCGCATGGGGCTCTGCACTGGCAGCATGGGGCCTGCTTGGGATTCTGTCTCTCTCTCTCTCTCTCTGCTCCTCCCTTGTCCACTCGCTCTCTCAAAATAAAGAAATAAACGTTTTAAAGTGTGTGTTTGTTTGTTTATTTATTTTTGAGGAACTGAGCGCAAGCAGGGGAGGGGCAGAGAGAGGGAGGCACAGAATCCGAAGCAGGTTCCAGGCTCTGAGCTGTCAGCACAGAGCCCGATGCGGGGCTTGAACCCACAAACCCTGAGATCATAACCTGAGCCGAAATTTGATGCCTAACCGACTGAGCCCTCCAGGCGCCCTGTGACCCTGTTTTAAAATTTTTTTTTAATGTTTTATTTATTTCAGAGAGAGAGAGAGAGGCAGCGTGAGCAGGAGAGGGTCAAAGAGAGAGGGAGACACAGAATCAGAAACAGGCTCCAGCCTCTGAG